GGGACGGACGCTGAGGAGCGGCGATGGGGATGTTGTACAGCCACTGCCCATACTATGCCTAGATTAACATATGTCTTATCATTAAAATAGACTGTGGATGTTTTCCTATTTATTTTTATCAGATAAACAGGCCCACTAGGTTTTTGGAAGCCCGGCAGAAAAGTTGACTTTTTCCATGTCACTTTGCTGGACCTTGACAGTCTCTGAACAAGTTTACTGTTTGGCTGGGTATTTTTCTGGATCTTGGATCAAGAAAAATCCTCAAGGCTTATGAAATTCTCCTCGGTAACCAAGTGAAAACTCAGCTTCCTGATGCCTCTGATTCTTATATGATCAGGGACACTAATGATAATGACCCTTTGCTGAGTATGCTACTTGTCTAGAGGCCTGTGTCAAGAATACCACTCAGTTCAGAGTGGACAGGGACAAACTATTTGTTTGCTCTTCAGGCCCCTTGGGCCCTGTCACATGCCATTTGTTCTTACATTAATAGGTAGCTTGACTCAGCTGGGTTGACATTTTCTGCTACTCAGTGCATTCCACTCATGCAGCAGCAGTTATCAAATCATTAAGTGAGGACTTGGACCCTGTCAACAGTTTAAGTGGCTTGTTGGTTTGGGTCCAGGACTTTTCAAAATTTTTACTGGTCACCCTTGAATCCAGAGGGGCTACTTTTCGACCAGCTTGGCTACCACATACAGTGGGTGTGAGAGCCTGGTCACATTTAACATGTTATTCACCAGGGACATGCAACAAAAAAAGAGACCCTGAGATGATGAGCAAGTGAATTTATGTCTGGGGGCACCAAATGTTTCCACATTTCCTTTCTGCAAACGTCTCATGAAAAGGAAAACCCGATATGCCTTATGTGACTGTTACTCTGCTGTATATTGTTTCTTTCCTTTCCTTTTCCTCCCCCTCACTCTCCCTTTTCATTTTGTGAGGCGGCGTCATAGGAGGTCTTACCGGGTCTAGGATAAGTCTTTATAAGAAGCCTGCTCTCTTCCTTTTTAGAGTTTGTTCTTTTGGTGTTTTTGTTTTGTTTTGTTTTAAACTGCCAATTTACAGCAGCTTAGGATCTGGCTCAATATGTGTTTTTCATTTTATTGTCTAAATGTTTACCCAGTCTATTAGTGTATATGCCCAGTGTTATAATGCAGGTATTCTGTTCCTGATTCGCCACCACAAACCTCCAGTTTTATATCAATGTGACTCCACTGACTTTCACTGGATGTACACTAGCATAATATTGGCATAATATTCAGTTTCCTGAATCTCGGCATATACATCTAAAACATTTCTAATGTCTACAGGACATTTGCAAATTTCATAATTATTTACTTCAGCTAGTAATTTAGTTTGCTTCTTGCATTGTAAAAATAGAGTTTTAGAGCTTTTGTGTTCTCCATCATATTAGGTAATATGGATTTGTATAGTGCTGGGTGAACCTCAAAAACATCTGAGCTTAGGTTCACTTCAAATTAAGAATTAGTTGAACTGTCCAAAGCTCTCTGCTCATGCACCTGCTGGCCATGCTCACAACACATCCCTTCTTATCCTTTGTGTTCCAGTGGAAAGAGCCATTATGGGTATTTTGCCCACGGCACACAGGGAAGCACAGTGACCTCTTCCTTGCATGAGCTTCCACTGGTTTGCCCTCTGTACAGTAGAAACACAGTATTGCTGTAGAATTTTGGACCCTATGTTACCTGTAAGGTTGAGCAGGAAGTGACTCTATAGAGCTATGATTAAATTCTCAGATGGAATTTTGTGCATACTCTTCCCACTCCATATGCTCACTCCTTCCAACCGTTTATCCCCAGCACAGCAGGAATGAATCTTATGGACTAGTCTGTTAACTGAAAAAGAGCTGGCTTATGCAATGTAACTGGGTCATCTAAGTGCCCCCCCCCCCATGGACTTAAAGGCATGACTTCCCTGCTGGGGGCCCTGACAGTTGGATGTAACCACTCATAGGACCACAGCCACGGACTGGTTAAGGCACACTAGAGTTCTACACTGTCCGGGGTGTTAAGAGTCCAAAACAAAAAGGAAAACAGAGAATTAAAAATCTGGGTCAGCTGGGGATTCGTCAGTCAGAGCATGCCCTTCTGCTCCAGGGTTGTCTCCATGTGGCTAGTCCCTTCTTGTCCATCTTCCTGAACCTACTCATCCTATTCACAAAATGGCTCATCTAGGTAGCAAGCCGTCTTAAGCTCTTGGCTGGAACCAGGCTTCCCTTGCCGAGGAAGCAGCACAACTCTGCTCTCCTTCCTGGTCCGTCTTGGGCTGGGTCTCCTCCTTTTAACTCACTTCTCCATGTGCGACACTGTCTGCAGGTTTAGCCGGGCAGGGGCCCACAGGCTCTCTTCAACCCCCTTGTGGCCAGTGTGGGTCCTATCTGCCCTGTCAAAGTACTTTTCATCAAAACTTAGGAGAAAAATATTTTAAAAGTATCAGCTTTGGACATCACGGTGCTTTTACCTAGGAGGAAACATTGTATACTTCTAATTGATATTAGCCAAAGACCTCGGGTGGGGGGGGGCAGGGCGGGGCGGTCAAGAAATTTCCATTTCAGTCATGAAAGTATTAAAAAAAATAGGCAATGGAGCCTAACTTGCTGTGCATAGAGGAGGATTTGACCACTGCACAGCTTGCATGGAAAATAGATATTTATTCCGATTCATTCCATTTTCTCGGGTTTAAGAGCTCTGAGCTACAATTCAGGCTGCCACTATGTTCCTGACATATAAGGCAGAGAGGCTAGGGGGTATGGGAAAAGGGTGAGGGTGGGGGGCATAGGGTTGGTAAGTAAATTCAGCAGCAAGACAGAGGAGAAAGAAAACAATCTGGATTCAGAGGCTTGGCAAGTTCTCCACTCATTGCCCGACCCACGTTTAGCAATTCTGATGTGCTACTGAGCAGACAGCTCGAGCTTGGGATGACTACGCTCCCTCAGTCCCTCTTCGGCAGGCAATGAAAGCAGGCTCCCCTTTGAAAATTTCCCCCCATCATGCAAACTGACACAGGCATGCTTTTCAAAAACCCACAGCCAATCTGTTGATCATTACTTATTTACAAAGGCCTTCGGGCAGAAAGTCCTGTAAAAACCATACTTGATAGGGTATACACTAGCTTTTTCTGCTTGTGGAAAAAAAGTACCCCTAAGGCTACCTCAAACCATCACTTTCTATTGCACATAAAATGCACCGTGTAACACTAAAGTATTTAATATATATGGTATAATATATCTACAGGAAAGGCATTTGTGTAGAAGTATGTTACCCTGTATTTGGTAATTTGATGTTTTGCTGAAGGCTATGACTTGAAAAAGCCTGCACCTAGTACAGAGGACCTGTCATCTCAGTACCCAAGAGCCAGTAGAATAAAGAAGTACCCTTAAGCAGCAAAACTTTGACACAGCTTTGAAGCATATGAAAACAGTATAACTCCCCAGAATTATTATTACTCAAGATCAAAGAAATGAGGCATACTTTACATAGCAAACAGGGACAGTGCACTCAGTTACAAATGTTTCAGCTCTCTTTTTTTAAAAAAATGTTTTACTTCCCCAAATTTAGGGGCTGAAGGGGGAATCTCCCACATTTTTCGAACTTTAAACAGATAAAACTATTAGTGCCAGATAAGAAGATTACCCAAAGGTGAGTAAATTGAAAATGATGCTAACATGACAACTGGCGTCATAAAAATGAGAAGCTTGGCAGTATGCTCATTTTATTCTTCCTCAGAAACTGTAAACAAGCATGTAAATCAGTGTCACACAGGCAAGGCTGAGGTAGCAGGAAGGCAGAGAACTTTTAACGATACATTTAACAGAAATAGATGGTCAATGGGGGAAAAAAAAGACACAGCTGGGTGCATTTTCTTCAGTGAATCAATCTCACTTTTGGTCCTGCAGTCTAAACACAGATGACGAAGACTTAAAGAAGTTATGCCCTTGAATATGCCCTAGATTGTAGGAACGATAAACAGAAAAAGGATGCTTATTGAATTGGCTAAGGAAATTCCCACTGCACTGATTGAAGTAGAGAGGGGAAAATCATCTGGCTATATCCATAGCCGTTAGAGGAACATGGCTGTTTCCAGTAAGCAGAGAAAGGTGCTAAGTGATGCATGCCTGATCCTGCACCCATTGACTACAACAGGAGAAGGGTAAGGCAGAGAAAGAAGTAGAATAAAAGTGCTATATTGCTTCAATATAGTACAATGTCCCAATTGCAATTCCAATTACAGAGAACCTTTGCTTAAAGAGAAATTTGATGGAAAGAAATGACTTAAATATCTGAGGGTTCCCTTATTGTAAAATACTATATGTCCAACAACAGCGGGGAAATTTCATTAACAACCAGAAGATGTTTTTATCATCCACTTTCAGAGTAGGTACTATTCTTAAAAAAATCCCTGTATTTCATAATTAATATTGCTTTTAGCCTGAGTAAAATTGCATTAGTTTTGAACTTTGCTTTGGCAAGTACATGGATTATTAGACTTTTTTTTTAATCAGTCAAAATCAATTAACAGAAATTTGATTTCAATCGACAGGATAAAAGGAAGGTAATATTCAGGTTCATTTTTGATTGTGATGATACATCTCACATATGGCCTTAAGTACAGAAAACAGTACTCAGAGGGATTCCAACAAAAAGAGAATTGCCTGAGGCAAACTAACCACATGAGTTCCTCTGATTGGTTAGTGCTATCATTAGTGCCACTGCTGTTTAAGAACTACACATGGACAGGACAGGGTGACAGCTAAGACTTTAAAGCCTATGTATTTTTCAAACAGCTTTTCAAACTGTTTTTCATGACAGAATTTTTTTCAGCTCTATCATTAACTGCTGACAAGCTGACAGAATAAATACTTCAGCCTTTCAGAAACCATCTAACAATCTTTTTCTTCAAACCCCCACCCCTTTTTGAGGAGCGGGAGGTGTAGAGGAAGGAAAGAAGATAAAGATATGAGTTTCTTACAGTCTTACCTCATCAGTTTGGGCGAGGAGTTGGGTGAATTTCTCATGCCTCCATTTCGCTGCTTTTTTTTGGGTGACAGTGTCGACGGATGTTCATCTTCAACTGGAAATAGAGGCAACTCATGAGATTAAGGACCCCTCTAAGCGCTATACGAAATACAAGTGACATAGCAAAGAACACACACTCAACGTCCATTCACGCACTGATACTTCATTACTAACTTTTTAGGCCCAACAGTAAAATAAATAAAAAAAAATCAAATATGTTAGTCAAAGAGATTGGTTTGGAGGAGGAGGAGCTGGAGAAGGGAAGAAAACCAGGGTTTTGAACACAGAAGTTCAAATTGGTTTCATACTTTTAAAACAAAAAAAAAGTGGGAGGGAACAGCATTTATGTTATTCTCTGAGTTATTTTCAATTAATCTGTGCTACTGAAGAGTAGAATTAGTGCTCTGCTATATACACAGAAAGATAAAGTGCTATTTGAAATACCAACATAATAGCTGCCAGCCTGCTTTTGCTAATGAACCAGATACAAATTGGTTCTTGCGTCTCACATGCCAGACAACAGAATCTTCACGAAGAGATGTAAAATATTCAATGCCTTGATGTTTAATGTTTCAGTTAGTCAGGATTGTGAACGTTGCCTGCAATTGTGCACAGATCTCCAGCACAACTCAGACCTCATCACTCCACCTTTCTCACAAAGGGGAGCTGTTATAACAGGAATGAGCAGAGTATGGTTGAATGGAAGTGGGGGATAGTACCTGTATAACAGAGGATGTGTTATAGCAAAGGATCTTTTAATGAGGACAGAGTGCATTTTAAATGAAAGTTCATTTTCCAAATGTAAAATCACTTGCGATTACTGTAAAGTGTACATCAGTGGATTTACCTATAACATAACACTATTTGCTTTAAACAAGCACAGTTTTCTAATAAGTTGTGTGTTAATATTAACCTTCATCATTACTGTTTAAAGGACAGCTACTGTACTTGATAATTAGCACACATAAGTATTATGTTTGCTATCAAAGGGAATCATCTGTGAATGGTGGTTTCTCAAATTCAGACTAATGCTGTAATATCAAGAATGAAAAATAGTCTCATTTCCATCCTATAGTTAATTGAAAAACAGACTAGAAGACAATGTAACTGAGGCCTAAGTAGCTTTTACCTTAAAGATAAAAAGAAAGAGATTAGTAGTAGCAGCTACATTAAAGGAGCTTAATACACATTAGCAGTGCACAAGCAGCAGCTGGAAAAAAAATCTATTTGCAATGAACTATATAGGAAGAAAAAAGCAGACCTGGACATATGTCATCTGCTCTAGATTTATCTGAGAATGAATTAAGCAATATCTTCCTGCTACAATCCTCTTCTGACACTATTTTCTTACAGCCCGCATTCTAGCTTGTCATGTCTGTCTGTTTTCCGGAGTATGTTATGGAACTTCATTTTGCCTTCATCAAGATTACAGGACTGGACACTGGAAAGGCAACATTGCTATCTTTTTAAACGACCTGGCATTGCCTAACAAATCCTGGATTTTTTTTTTAAAAGCTTCAAAGAGTGATGCAAAAGGAGTTGTAATTAGAACTGAGCTATGATCAACTTACAACAAATAATTTATTGGACTAATTCAGCCATTTTTTCTGCTTAGAGAACATCCATAAAGCATATGAAATTTCCTCAATATTTGACTATTTCATTTTTTGTTTTAGAAATCCATAGCATAATCGTGAAATTTGTTATATATTTGACATTCAAATTTCTAGCTGTACTGCCTACTTGTGATTTGTTAGATAAATCACATAGTGCAATTACTGTTCTTTGATTGGCTGAGAGTGTAAACATTTCCTCAACGAATACTCAAATGTGCAAATTTAAAACCCACTTTCTGGGAGAGTTAGTTGCAATAAAACTTAATCACTTCATTATTCAGTTGTTTGTAAACTCTCCGAATTTTTTTTTAGCAGTATCTGCCCAGCTCTACTTATAATAAAGTGTGGTTCTTTATTCGTTCCATAACACTCTCTGGCAAGTCATTCTCTGGAAAATGGTGTAATCTTGTTTTAAACTTGTCTGTCAAAAACAGTTATTCACATGCTATTCTACACAGGCAATAATTTGCTTTTAATGCATACACAGGACTCCCTTGTTCTTTATTTGATATAAACAGTCAGTCTAAATCATATGGACTCACCACTTAAGAGATTAAAGGAAATAATCATGCACAATGTTGCTTGCAGAAATCACCTACAAATAATATGTTTCTCTCTGCCAGTAAATAAAAGCTCAAAGTTCATCTAAATTAATGTGCCCCCATGGGGCTAGAAAACGTTTATAAGAAATTCAGTAACATAGTACAAGTGGAGTGCATTTTTATACCTTTTTCACTAGTATAAGAAGCTCTGTACCCAGTAGGAGCATTTGTAAAGTCTTATTTTGATATAGACTAGCTGTAATGATATTATATACAGAAATATTTCTATTAACAGTGCAAAATGCTATAAAAAAGTATATTTCCAAGCCTTCAGGTGGTTAAAATGAGTTATGCTTGCTGTTTCAAATGTAAGAGGTAAGTCCAAATGAGGATCTTTCATCCTACATGGTCTAGCATTTGCTTTCTCCAACCTTACCAGATGTTACTATCATACTGGCCAATTGTAAAACTAGGCCTTATTATTATTATTACCTTCCAGAATGACGATCTCCACAGCTGGATTTCCTGACAAAGTGTACAGTTTCTTTTAGGGTTGTACCTACAATAAACAAGCTCTTTTCTTCATTAAGTGCCCATCACCTTTATGCCGTATTACTGTCTGTGTTCACCTGCAATGTTCTAGGGTTACATGGCTCACAAGTTAATACCTATTAGCAAAGCCCTTGGAGACACCTCATTTCTGTACTAAAGCCATGCCTTGCTCAAGCAAGGGAGCCATTTATTTTCATTGTGGCAATGAAAGATCACCTATTTTAAACATGTCACATTTGAATCGGGATTTTGTTTTTAAATTAAATCTGTATGCAAAGAGTTTATAGTGCATCTGCAGTTTGGAAATGCAGTTTTATTCCCTAAACGTGTATGTGTGTGGGTGGGGATTGGGGGGGGAGGGGGGGAGGGGAGAATTGTCTGAAGCTGAAATATACAGATGGTGTGTAATGGAGACCATTACCTATGGCTTGGTTCCCAAAAGTGTTGCAATGCTAACTCACAGGTGGATTCTTAGTCACAAGTAGGATATAAACCATATTTCATTATTAGCTTTAATATATTCTATTAATTTCCTGTATATTTAAAGAAAGTAGATCTAGCAAAACTTTTAGTTAAGCTATAAAATATCATTTTCATTTCATGGTTCCTGTTTCTGCATGAGAGGAATAAAAATTAAAATAAAAGGGAATCTTAAATTTACTTGCTTTCATGAAAGACAACTGTATTTGAGTAACAGGCTGTGATATATAACAACTGAACGCTAATGCTATACATTTGACCTACTGCTTCTGCTAATGAGAATGTGGCCCTATTTTTAATATTTTCAATTTATTTAATGCTGTGGGAGTTGTATTACAATACAGTCATACTATATTAATGCAGACCTTCTTTACCAGCTTTCATGAAAGTACAGACAAGTTCAGGAATTCAACACAGAATTTTATAGAATGTGAACTCAATCCAGCCTTTGAGTTCTCATAAAATTCAAAAACTTGTTTTTGCACATCCCTAAGTATAACACTTAATGTACTGTTGTAACAACCCAGTGCTCGCTTGTCTAATAGGCACAGAATCTAACAGTTTTACAGTTCAGGAAGACTCAGTGCTAGAAAAATGTCAGGCAAGTCTAATGAGGCTTCAGATATTCTGGTTTATGCTGGAGTTTAATTTGAAGTTACACTGATGTTCTAACATGTTTTCTTATTCTTGAGTAAAAAGGATTCATTATTTCAATGACATAACCTCCAGACAATGTTCCATGAATTGATTTAAGATGTGCTGGTAATTTTAACAGCCTTAATGCAGAGCCGAACATCTGTAACAACATATTACTTGACTTTTATCCTCATTTAGTTTTTAAGCCAAATAAAGGAAATGTCTTCCAGAAACATTGGACAAGTTCATAACTTTTCTTTTATTATTTTGTTACTATTTTTTTAAATACATCGGTCTCTTTCATTGCCTCTGCAAGGTCACTAACAACATAGTTTATGGGTGCTTCCCTTTTGTGGATCCCCAAAATGAGCTGGATTATCTAACAACCTTTCAGCTACCAAATACTTCATGAAATGGAACACCTAGTAAACTCATTGTCTAGAATGTAAGTGTTTGAAAGCAAATAAAACATAAGAAAGATAAAACATCAACCACCCAGAAACATTAGTTACTATCTTGTTTAAGTTATTAATCACCACATCTCAAGAAACCCACATCTGTAAGCACTTAACAGAGCATTAGTAATGTCATTTTCACATTGAAAACACTCAAACTGTAAAACCATGCACAAACCAATCTGTACTGCCTTATGCATCCAACTAAGGGGCTACCTACGGAGATCTTGGTTCAACCCAGGATTTTGAGGGTGATAGCAGTATTTTACAGGCAAACTGAGTGCCCTTTGCAATCTACAGTAGGTAGATTTTCCATGCTCAACAGAGCTCAACAAGTTAAGGTGCAGCAGCGAGGGATTGTTGGGTAGAAAGAGGCTCCCTTTACGGTTATTAACAAGTGGAACAGGTTCCGGGATTCCTTCAGTGGGCTTGGCACCAACGAGTGCATTAGTAGTTGCATTCTTGAACTGAAATGAACATTTTGGATAACTTGATCTAGCTTCATTCTTTACTTCTAAATAATAAGAAAAAATGTAAATTAATGTTTTGTGTATTAAAAAAAGGTTTCAAACCACAGGATAAATCAATTTTAATATTATGTGGAATTATAGCTTTAAAGCTTAAACTATCAGTTTCCGTAGCTGAAGTATAGGTTTATATCTGCAGCCTTATTAACATTTTCAAAAAATGGCTCTCTCTATATATTTCTATATATATATATAATCAACCCTTATAAAAGGATTATTCCATATTATCATCATATTTAAGCAATAA